AATTATTACACTTTTGACTGGTCATGGATATTCTCGAATTTTTGGCTTATAATAAATTCGTGAGACGCCGCCATAATAAAAAAATTAATTCGAAACCGAACATGAGACAAACTTATATGAGGCGAGGCAAGCGATGCAAGTTCACCCTCGCGCTCGGCTAATTTTATCTTGCCTCGACGAAAGTTTACTACTAGGCTTAATGAACTTTGCGGGGTGAATAGTTTTTTCTTCTACAAATTCCACTTTTTCTGCTATTAGGAATTTTCCTAAATCCATGAGCATTCGCAGTTGACATACGTCAGTTACGCAGTAACATCGTAATCTTCGCGACGGATTCAAGCAGGGATTTATGTTTTTTAACGCGATTCAGGAACAAAACCAGGAACTGCGCTCTTCCGTTCGCATCGAAAAATATCGCGCGCCAAATAAATACAAATAAAGCGTAATAGAAGCGCAAAGACTGATTACAAAAAAGAAAATCGTAGGAAGTGAGAGGTATACATTTAGCATTAAAGAGAAGTAAAAATATGATGGAACGTGGACTCATAGTGCAAACTGAAATCCGTGAACATTGTTTTCATACGATTCGAACGATGCAAGAAGACGGATTTGGAAGGAATTAAAAAAAGGTGCTGGGAGAAGGTTTCATATTTATCGTGATATTAGGCTGTCCCAAAAAGTTTCTCTCGTTGATTTCATTCTACTTTTTTTGATTAATGGAAACATTTATATCGTATGCGATATGTTTATTAAGTAAAGTCGTAGCTATTGAATCCTTGAGCGAATTAATAGACATACGCAATCTTTAAGTTAAAATTTTTGTCATAAATTGATATAACTATTCGTTTGAGATTTACATAACGTTTTATTCCTTTGTATTTTCAGTGCTACAAAATAATATGTATGCAATGAGATGAAAATTATCATTTAAAGGGTTAAATGTGGCGTGTGAAGAAAGACACTTAGGGGACAGCCTAGTATACAATTATCCTCGACAGATCGATCGCGATAAATTCAATGAAAGTTCCTTTCCAATGGCCGCGCTTCCGTTGAATTTGCAACATTTGTGCCAACATAAATGAGGCTATATAGTTATTCAATACTCGAATCGCCGTTCGTGCCAGTGAGTGATTGCGCACGAATCGCCTATAGAATTATTTTTAAGCCAAGTTTATATACGTAAGAAACGCTTGTACGTACATCGGTGTGCACGTCTGATAGGCTGCGTCCAGACTTGTGCTATTCCGCGGGTGCGCAAAACGCAGAATACATTTGAGAGGGTCGGTTTTACAATTTGGCGTGCACTGAAAGGCTCGACGAACCGTCAAGCCGCGCACGCGAATATTCGCGCGCATAATGAAAAGGAAAAGAATAGTAAAAGATAAACGAAGAAAGGAAATACACTCTCGTCTAGTGTCCCATGTTTAACGATGTTCTTTAAACCTAGACTTTCGAGTACAGATCTTCCGCAATTCTAAAAGTCGGAGAGGTAATATCAAACATGGATCACTTGAGAGACGAGCAGGATCTTCTCCATTGAAAGTTAAAATTATTCTGCCCGTGTCAATATCGTTTATCTATATGTGTATTTAAATATCTGAGCTAGGAGGCATGATATGTATAATTATGCATGTTATTGAAATAATTAACAAAATTATGCTCTTTCTAAAAGAAAGGAAACACTTTTTATACACGGCAGTGTTCACTTATTTTTGAATGAAGACTAATTAAAATGTTCAAAATGTGAAGTTCCTATGGTGAGATTTGTCGATGCACGCGATCATTCACGAATGCGGCTCTCTGCCATCGAGCATGACAAGCACGAACAGTGCGCGTTTAGTCAAGAAATCGATCATTCAAGTTTGTGCACTCGCGCGTTCGCCTAATATGGACGCGTTTTGCTGCGCATTCATGCGCGACTGATTTTGGGATTGATAAACGGGACTGGACGCAAAGCCATACAAATCAGTCACAGCTGGATTATCGTCCAATTCGTTGATACTAAATTATAAGACCTGAAACTCAATCGTTTGCAAAGATTTCGAATGAGAGATTAGCGAACAGCATTCAACGAGGCAAGGAACTCTGATTTGGATTAATGATTTACGGACGTGCACGCGCGAAGACTTGCGTGATTCATGTAGCGATTAAATACAATTATGCATGTAATATGCGTGACGACGATTTTTCGAGTCGCGAGACAAGCGAGACATGAAAATTGAAACGGAAAAAATGTTAGAACGTGAAACCCAAAGAAGAATACCTGCTCTTGCTTTTAAGGAGATCGATGATGATGATAATAATTAGCATATAAGAGAGTTCGATTCACGTTTCGTTCGTTTTTCTTTTTTCAGAAATACAAGCGACTATAGATGACAAGTAGGAAGGTAATACAAGAAATATTATACGAAAAAGAAAGAAAAATAAAATTCCATAATATTGTTCGTTCAGGTAAACAAGTGTGAAGTATACATTAATAACTGAAAAAGCTGAGCCGATTTCAGCGGGGATCGTATGTTGCGTATACAAACGTTATACATACATATATATACATATATATGATGTAATATAATATATATATATACGATATATTCTTTATGGTTTATGATTTTTTGCGAATTTAAGATATATGATTATCACATTGTGAGTGTATCACTGATAACCATTGTGTTAGCGAGGATACTCGACAAATAATAAAGAATTGAATTTAATTGTTTAGCAATGATTTGTCTCCTAAAATCGATTCAATTTTTTAAATACATATATCTTGTAACCATTTTTTGTACACCTTCGAAAGAAAATGTTATCTTCATCGTTGAACTTCCATAACTTAAGAATTTTTGTACTTGGTAGAAAAGTGTGTCTAAAGTACATGACTTTTCCTTTAGTTTCTTCGCTTTTCAGGTCGTAAGGATGGAGTAAAAAATTAATGGGGTTCCGACTAATATGTATGTATATACGTATTTCGTTTTCTTGCGTGAACCTATACTGACAAGTGTTCCATTTTCTTTTTCAGGTGAACTGGTGTGCGACTGCGGGAAGCGCTTCAAGTATCTGTTTTTGATGATTTGTCATCAACGGGATGAATGCGGCAAGATGGAGTATCAGTGCGAAAATTGTTCCTTTCAAACCAACAAACTTCATTGGTGGATAAGCCACATTAAAGCGCAAAAATGTACACGTAAAACAAATCTCTAACGTAAGTTTTAGAACTTGCCCGATTTTGATCATGCGATCATACACACTGGTTCCTTCCATGACAATAATGTATCTTAAGAGACTGAATAAATTTTGATATGTACAACCTCATTCACTTTGACTATTTTTAAATATATAACATAGGACGTCAATGGGATAAACTTTTGTAAGTCATTCTGAAACTGCAAGTAAAACGAAATTTTCATTTTATTTTAGGTCGAAAGCGTTGTATATGTTCATTGTTATATGCTATTATGTATTGCTGTATGTTAAATGATAGGAGGAAGAAAGAAGACAAAGTGAGTTTTAGAAGAACAGAGAATATGGATCCGTGCAATTCAGTTGTGGATAAGTGTTTAACGGTAGAATGACGTTTCTGATTTCAGGCGAGATGATTATGTTCCCCGCGAAAGGAGCAGAGCTCGTGTACGACAGCTACCCGGATTTCGACTCGACGAATCTGAAGAAATACGTGTGTAGCTGCGGCAAGGTGTACAGTCAAAAGAGTTCACTTTACCGACACATGCGTTATGAGTGCGGGAAAGTGCCAAACGTGCCGTGCCCTCAATGCGAGAAGATGTTTAAACACAGGCACCACATGACGCAGCACCTAAGAAGTTGTCGCCACGGAGATCTATTTACTAATTGTTACGTAACTCGAACGTAACTTTACTTTTGTAACATAGCTCGACAGTTCCGTTTATACGAGCCGAAATAAAACATTTCTTCAATCCCATTTCGTAGACACGTACGTTTGAGGATGTATTGGCTATACATTCAATTCCAAAAGTTTATGCACTTTAGAAACGCATTTTTTAAAAAGAAATCAGACGTCGAAAGAACATTGCTAATAATGAACAACAAAAAAAAATTTTCGTTTTTCCGAGATTTTTCCAAGGGGTACCCCTTCAATATTTTTCAAATTTTCGTTTTTGGCCAATAATTCCCAAATCGTTGGACATACGGAAAAATTGCATATGACCTTTCTTGTAGGGGACGATGAGATCTACAATTTCCATGTAAAAATTTTTCGCTAGCGTCAATAG